GAGTACCCCTGGACAGTATGGCGGACATTACCGTGAAGAGGTCTATTTAGTAGTCTTGTATACATTTAGTTAGTCTTGTATGTAATTTGATAATCTTCTATGGAATTAAATAGTCTTATATATAAAATTAATAAGCTTTATTTAGAATTGAATAGTTATGAAATTGAATAATCTTTTTGGAATTAAATGGTCTTGTATAGAATTAGTTAGTCCTGTATATGATTTGATAATCTGCTATGGAATTAAACAGTATTGTGCAAAATTAGTAAGTTTTATTTAGAATTGAATAGTCTAATGTGGAATTATGTCTTGTAATGCATTTATAGGACCTTAATGTGTTGCAGGTGCTGTAAAACTTTTACTAAAACTATACTGTAAATCTTGTAAATTGAACTATACACATGTGTATTTTATAGAAAGAAGCTACCTCGGAGGCCAGTACTGGTGTCAAGGTCAGCGAGAGTGAGATAGTCGGACTCTTGACCCGCATCGTCGGTGAAGTCCTCACATGTCTGTGTCAGACGAGAGCAGCACTGGTGCTGCGACAGCAACAACTGACTGCCAAGCAACTCCGCTCCAGGCAGAGAGAGAATTTTAAGAAATTGTTGGCTTTGTGAGTGGTTGTCTTGTATGGTTGTTGTTGTCAGTTCAGTTTGGAATATAAATCTTCATGTTTGTTTGTTTTTTGATGGTTTAAAAAAAAATAGGAGTGGAGAGAGAGGGAGAGGGAGAGGGAGAGGGAGAGGGAGAGAGAGAGAGAGAGAGAGAGAGAGAGAGAGAGAGAACAGTGTTAGCACATTGGCTAGATATAGTCCCTCACATAAGAACACACACCTCTTGCATTTGAAGCCATTGTTTTTGACTATTGGTAGCGAATTGTGTGCTGGTAAATTCTTCTGCCTACTACTGACCTAGTAAGGATGGGAATTTACTCTCTTTCATCATTAAAAAAGAAAAAGGAAATGAGGGATACTTATTCACCTTATTGAAGAAGTTGGCCTGCACAGTATCCTGGCTCATACCGTAACTCCGTCTTCTTCTTCTTACCTCTGTATTTTCCCCTAAGTTTAATGTTGCCCTTCAATTTCAGAATAGGTTATTGCTATTGACTGTTGCTAAGTTGTAATTCCTAATATATGAATACATGTATTTCCCCTCTGTTGTTTCTGTCCGTCTGGTTTGCTGTTTCCATGCACTCTAGATGATCAGTGACAGTTGTTACGTTTTTGTTCTTCTCTCTACTCAAACTATGAAGATAAGATGAAATAAGATACATCTTTAGTGTCCAGATCCTGGAACATTGGTTTGGTGTTTCACCACGTACTCACATACACACACACACACATGTACACACCCATACACCCACACACATGTGCATACACACACACACACACAAACATGCACACACACACATACACACACACATGTGCACAACCATATACACACACACTCTTCCCTCACACATCCTCTCTTCCTCACACATCTGTGCTCATAACCTTAACAGTGTAATAGTATGCTGGCACTCACAAACAGTCCCACAGTCACATGCATAATATAAATGAACAGTAGTATAAACAATGATAATTTAAGCTAGATACATACTCAGTATTCTGATGGTAACTCAACACTAGCTATAAGATGCCACTAGGAAAGCAATAATTAAAAACAGGAAATACTATATCTTTATCAGGCGAAATAGAAAATTTGAAGCATCGACTGGGGTAGACCACGTGGAACCTGGAGACAAGCCTCAGAAATTGATGTACAGAAAAGTGGGAAGACATGGAATAACATCAAGAGGGTAGCCCAGGATAGAGAAAGGTGGAAAGTGTTTGTCCATGGCTTACACCCTGGTGCAGGGTGAGAAAGCAATGATGATCAACTGAAGTCACAGCTGACCTGTTTATGTCTTTTTGCTCTTGCCTGGCAGTGTTCCCAGCATCAGCTTGTTCTGCCAGTTTGTCCTGGCTCTGTCTGCATGGTTGTTCTGTCGTCTGGACCACTACAACAACTGGGACAACAAAACGTGCAAGGCCCTACAGAGGTATGTTTAGCATATCGTAGCATTGAGAAACAGGCTCAAAACAGAGGAAAAGTGTTAAGTTTTGAAGAAAGACTTATAATTTTTCACATTGTTGTAAACTTTTCTTAGACAGATTTGGTCTCACTGGCATAGCAGAAGTCATAAGTCATATTAATCCTGTCTTTATATATTTTGCTTAAGAAATATTCTTCTCTTCAGATGGATTAGTCATTGTTAGACATTGACGGTCAAACTATTATAATAATTACTATTATTATTTGC